CTCTGTCTGTATCTTCTGTATCTATACGCATACTTCTATCTTCTTGTCCTACCGTCGTTAGTGCCGTTCTGTTTCTCTTCTTAGACAGCCTCATTTCTCGTACAACGCCAATGAAGCACGCCAGAACCACCGGTACCCTTGCTTGACTCAGAACCTACTGACCTTACGGCCAGGGCCAGGGAGCGAAATCGGAAGTGTCACTGGGCCGAAGGGGTGCGCTTTATGACGTCCTACCGGGTCCCGTTTGTTAAAGAATAATTAACCCGGTGACTAACACCGCGAAACCAAAATCTCCCGACAGAGACGCACCACCTTTTCTTCGTCCACTCCATAGTACACAAACTACGCCCTACAACTACAAACCAACAAGCAGAGCAGACGACACGGGAGGCATGATTGGCTTCCTCTCGACCGCCGCCAACATTGCGAACCCGACTCCAGATCTGGACCACAGCCGTGCTGTGGTTCAGACCTCGACCAAACCATGCCCATCTTCCAGGACGATCTCGAACACCACCACCACCTATCATCCATAGCCGAGCACAGAACGGCCGCGGCACCAGAAACGCCGCAAGCAGTGCCGCCCGTACCGCAACACCGACCGTCGCCGATGAGAAGACTCTCCGAAGAGAGCATACGAACCGAGCTATGCGAAGGTCCCATTATCGAAAGCCCGACGAGGCCGTCAACACCCGAGACCGACGCCGACGCCGACACTGCTGCTGCTGCCTCCGCCGCCGTTACCTCTGACAGGGCCGAGCTGATTGAGCGGCTGAAGCGCGGGGAGAGTCCGACGTGGATCCCGAACCGCCGTGTCGCATCTCCCAGGAACGATCTCGTGGCTCACAATATCACCAAGCTCGAGTCGCTCTTCAACAACCTGCCCCGCCCCAGCACGCCGCAGAGCCCCCGGCCGCCCTCGAGCTCGTCCAACAACAGCCTCTTGCCGCCCGCGAGCATCACACCGGATAGAGCAGCCGCCCACGGCTCGCGAGAGGACGATGAGCGGCTGCGCGAGGGGTTAAGCATACAGAGACCGCGGTCCGCTCTACACAGCGGCGATTTCACAGAGGACCATCAGCCGAGGCCGCGGTCACGGCAGCAGCAGGAGCAACAAACGACACAGGAGGAGACGACGCATGGCGCGACCAACAAGTTGTTGGCATCGCGCAATTCATGGCTGGCAACGTCACCACCGCGGGACCTTTCCCCGTTTCAGCTCGAGACGAGGTTGCCGTTTCCGGCGACAAATGACGACTACCGATCCGTCCCGTCCTCCTTGTCGTCCTCCTTCTCGTCCAGCTTCGTCTACAAGCCGCCGACGAGCCCGCTGGTCCAGTCCGAGAGCAACGACCAGGTCGACCTGTCTGCGCCGCTCAACAGCATCGCCATTACTGGGGGCTCCCCGAGTTTCGCAGGCCCTTTGCGGCGACACACGCTGAACTCGGTCACATCGTCCCCCTTTGCGTTCCCCTCGCCCAGCCATGCTGCGTTCCACAGGCAGCCCTCGCACCGGGGGCCGGCGGCGCTGCCGTACCAAGCGCACCAGCCGCGGCGCTCCCTCACGTCGATCCCGCAGGTGCCGCTCCCTGGGGCCGCCTCGTCGCCGCAGACGCCCGCGACGTTTCTGAGACCCAGGCGGCCGTCGTTCAACTCGGACACCTCCCCCTTGCAGCACGCCTCCATGGTCGGGTCGTACGAGGAGAGCATCCTCCGCGGCCGCATGTCCACGACCCCGTCCAAGCCGCTCGACTTTCTCGCGCAGATTGGCGTGCTGGGGCTGGGCAAGTGCAAATCCAGTCTGAGGTGTCCCGCCCATGTGACGTTGCCGTTTCCTGCCGTGTTCTATAGCTACGGGGGAGCTTCGCAAGGGCGTGTGCGGTCGGAAGACGGCCCCAGCCCGTACGTCGGCCAGATTGACCTGGAAAACGGTCTACCCAACCCCGAGGAGGGACAGCGGTCCAAGAGGAAGATGCAGAGCCGGTACGTCGAGAAAAGGATCGCTGAAGACGACGTCCTCATGGCCGATGGGCCCGCGGACGGGTCCTCGGATCGTGCGGCACAGCGGGCCAGACGGAGATCGGCGTCCCCGAGAGCGCCGCCGGGCGGGAGCTATCGCATCCCCGAAAAGGGTCAGATCCAAATCGTCATCAAGAACCCAAACAAGACAGCGGTGAAGCTGTTCCTCGTGCCCTATGACCTGGCCGGCATGGAACCCGGGACCAAGACGTTTATCCGGCAGCGAAGCTACTCGGCGGGTCCCATCATGGAGACGAACACGCCCGGGCTAGAAGACGCAGCCGCCGCCGCCGCCGCAGCCGCAGATCGCCCAATCCTACGGTACCTCGTGCACCTCCACATCTGCTGCCCGTCCAAGGGCCGCTTCTACCTCTACAAGAGCGTCCGCATTGTCTTTGCCAACCGCGTCCCCGACGGGAAAGAGAAGCTCCGAAATGAGACGACGAACCCGGAGCCGCGGTTCACGCCGTACAAGCCCATCCGCGTGATGCACCCGCCCATGTCGAGCAGCCACAATGGGCCCGCGGCGACGCTCGCAGCGGAAAAGGCGTTTCGGAGGCGGAGTGCCGGGTTTCCCTTGGCTCCGTCTGTCTACCCTTACGCGGCGGATGGTGGCAGCACATCAGACGGGTTCTCGCAGTCGCCGCAGGCCGCGGGGTACAGTCAGCAGTCACCGTCACCCTTTAGCTTTAGCGGGGGAAATAATAATCAGCCCGTGGAAGCGGTGCCGTTTGCCCTTGCGGGGCGTGGGCGTGCCCGTCTGGGGAGCGACGTCAGCGATACCACGAACACGACAAGCACCACGACGCCCGGCATCCTCTCGCCGCAGTCGTCGCAGGCGAGCAGGCCGACGACAAAGGACGGCTGGGACGCGCAGATTGCGAGGTACGAGAAGCTGAGTAAGGGGGACGTCGGGTACGGCGGCAACGCATTCGCGCCATCGTCTGGGCGCGGTGGGAGTCCTGGTGGTGCTGCGGAGGGGTTGCTTTCGCAGCGGTTACGGTCTCTGGGTGTACAGAACCAGGGACATGGGCAGGGGCAAGATCAGAATCAGGGTGAGATGCCCTTTGGTGGTCGACCAGAGTGAGGGCGGTTCACGTCGAGACTTCACACCGTGTTTTGGAGCCATTTTGTACATATTTGTGACACCGATTTTGGTGTGTTTATTTACTCGGCCCCGGTTTATATGGGTACGGTCACTGATGGAGTTTGTCTTATGGGATGGGGAACAGGGCTTTATCATAGACGGATGGAGTTTTTGGTTATTTAGGCGCGTTCCCCTGAGGGCGACGCTGTTCATACCGAGATATCTTATGAGAGAGATGTAGTACTTGATCATCTTGGTGTGTACGTGATAGTTCGCTCGCAGCGGTGCTACTGATGGCCGAATCGCAGGTAGGTCCCCGAGAGGCCGGGTGCCTAACATGGAAGCTTCTCCATATACTCAGCTTGGCAGCCATGCATTCACAAATCATGCCCCTGACTTTACTTAATTCGAGATCCTCCCGACGGGGTCCTGGGAAACCCGACTCCATGAGATGAGCGACGTCCCCGAGCGGCCGGAGTACTTCACGGAAGCCATTCCCGTGCCCTACATGCAGTTCGTTTTACGGATGCCTACTATCTCTGAGCATGGTCTTCCAGATCTTCTCCCCGACGGGGTCTCGCAGCGCTCCGCTCTCCCGCCTTCCCGTCCGTCTGTCTGTCTTTTCCCGAGTGCGAAACGCAAGGCGGTTTTTTTTTTTTATTTGCGTGCGGTCTTGGCTATGTTTATTTAGGTGTAGACCATGAGCACACGGTTGAGGGACACGGACTTTTTTGAGGTTGGGAGGCACGGATGATGGGTGAAGATCAGACTGAGGTGAGTGGGTGACAAAATAGTACGGTAGTCATAGACCCTGTGAACACTTATTTGGTCTGTACCGAGACAATCGCTACTCTCATCGAATAGAAGTTTTCATTGCGTGTATAATTCACTTGGAGACTTTGGGCGGTTATTTACAGTACTAGTAAGTTGAGCATTCGTGGTTGTGATGATGTTGCAGTGTGCTTACCAAATGTTAAGGGCGGCAAACTATTTTGTCACCCACTTGGCAGGATCATGAAGGTACGAGAGAGAGAGAGAGCGAGTCTAGACCGAGGATGTCGGACCACATTGATGGATGCGCTTACTTTCATGATGCCAGACATCGGGTTAATGAGGAGAGGAGGTTCTTGGGTTATGCGCTCACTATTCTCACTCACTCTCACCTCCTTCTACATCCGAGCGTAGGGATTTTCAAATACTTCAAATGACGGAATCCCACGCTCGACAAAGTCCGAGCGAAGCATCTCAGTGTCCCTGGTCATTGGCGATGGAATCTAACAGATTCAACATCAGACGGTTTCACCGCGGCATATTCTCGCCGTGAGCCCGTCGCCTGCAGCGGGGGATGCTTGGGGTGGTGGTGTTGTGAAACGCCCTTCGCCTTCGCGTTTGGCACGGGAGGGGCTGTGTCATTTTGTGTATTCCTTCTTTGGTGGTGAGGGAGATTCCGTCGTAGTCTGCGACTTTCTCTCACAATGCCCCCCCCCCCCCCCATCACTCATAATGCTGTCCGGGTGAGGCGGCGTCATCTGAAGCGAGTCTAGTCGCGAGTACGCAAGTACGCAATGGGCGGCACCCCGTCGTTGAGGAGCTAGCTCACTTACATGATCCCATGTGTAAGTGTCTGTGACGCAACTCTTCATCAACCACCAAGGACGTTCGAACATTTGCCCACGCACATGTCAAAGCTTTGAAATACCCTGAACAACCCCCCTTGACAATCCTTTGGGTTTTTGGCAACCTAGAAGTCCCTTATTCGATTCAAGGTTACCTTAAGCGGCTCTGCGGTTGACGATCACCCGAACGATTAACACCTGGGTACACCCTCAAACGAAACAACTTCGTCCTCCTTGGCACGACTTACACAAACACGCATTCAAAAGAGAAGGGCGCGATGAGGCCGTCATCCGCCCTCCTCCTCTCGTCAGCCCTGCTATACCAGCAGACCACGGCGCTGACGATACCTATAATACCGTCGATACAAACAACACCAACACCACCGCAAAAGATCAAGGGGAACCCCTACCGCGACAGGGACCTCTCGAGTCTTCTTTCCGGCTCCTTCGAGGTCCTCGACCGCGTGCCGGGCCTGGTGGACAAAGTCGTCAACACGACGCTGCTCGTCGTGCGCGCGCTCCGCGAGACGGTGGCCGAGAACGGCATCACGCAAAACGACCTCGACACGGCCCTCGGCATCAACGGCACTACGGGCATGCCGCTAACGCTCCCGGGGAACACCACCCGCGCCGTGACGTGTCCGGACGTTGCCGTCCTCTTCGCCCGGGGGACCAACGAGCCTGGTACGTTATCCGCCCCCCGCCCCTTTGAAGTAAAGGCAGGTTGAGAGACTAACACCCCCTCCAGGCAACGTGGGCTTCCTCACCGGCCCCCCCTTCTTCGACGCCCTCCGCACTTACATGAACGGCACAGGCTCCATCGCAATCCAGGGCGTAAACTCCTACCCGGCCGATCCACCCGGCTTCTTCGCAGGCGGCTCCGCCACGGGCGCCGCCTTCGCCGCGCAGGTCGCCTCCCGCACGATCTCCGCCTGCCCAGACACCCGCCTCACGGTGTCGGGGTACAGCCAGGGCTCGCAGGTGGCCCGCCTCGCCGTGGCGCAGATGCCGCCCGACCAGCGCGCGCGGCTCTCGAGCGTCGTGCTGTTTGGCGACCCGTTGGGCGGGAAGCCGATTGACGGCGTCGATCCGACCAAATTGCTCGTCGTGTGTCATACGGGGGATAATATCTGCCAGGGGGGCAATTTCATCTTTAATCCGCATCTCGATTATAGCCTGGACGCGCCGACGGCCGCGCTGTTTGTGATGCAGAGGAGTAAGCTTGGGCTTGCGAGTCGCGATGCGCTGAATGAGGGGATGGGGGATACCATGGTGGGCACCGTCCAAGGGATCATGCATTCTCCAAAAGATGGGATAGCGAGTGATTGATGACTTGATTGTGGATGATGTATCGCAGTTTCATACAAAGGAGCTTAGATTGGGGAAAGTTAATACACAAAAGTTATATTGTCACATCTATCGTCTATCTCCGTCGAGGAGAATGTTAAACCTCTCCAAAAAAAAATAAAAAAAAATCATCGCTGCAATTAAATGCCTTCTAAACAACACACTCATTTCTGGTCTAATAAGTCTTGTACAAGATATCTCTGTTCATACACACCACGTCCCCATAGGTTTAGTCGGCCGTCGCCTCGCCGACGACGGACCCCGGGTTCGCAGGCCGTTGATAGTAACTCCGCCCGTGGTCATTGATGACGATGATGAATGCTCAGGCTTTTGCGCCAACGATGTGTTCTCAGGTTGCGAGATAACATCTTCCTCGCGGGGTAGAAGGATTTGCCCCGACGACGACGAACCCCGAGTCTGCAGGCCGTCGATTGTGACTCCGCCCGTGGTGAATGACAAAGACTCGGGCTGTTCCGCCGACAATGTCCTCTCAGGTTGAGAGCCAACGTCTTCCTCGCGAGGCACCGATGACGATGAAACCCGGGTCCGCAGGCCGTCAATCGTGACACCGCCCGTGGTAAAAGACAAAGGCTCCGTCTGCGAGCCAAGGATGCCTCCCTCGCGGCGAGGTTCGCCTATTTCCGAGAGCACCTCTTCAGGCCGCACCTCCTGCCACCTCTTTTGGGTCCCATAGAGCTCCTTTTCAATACCCACGCCCGTGTACACCATTGTCCTGAGTGCATCCGCCAGGCGCGGACACAGCTCCTTAAAGGTGTTGAATTTGCGCACCGCCTCGCCCGACCACATTGCCGTGCGTCGCAGATCGTGATATTCCTTGGACAGGAGGATGATGGTGTACGATGTAGGACGTAGCACTTGCGACGAGCTCTGGACTCGACGCGTCACTAGCGGTAGGTTCCTCTTGACTTGCGCGCGTATGCGATTCTGCTGCCAGCCCGTCCATCTCAGCATGAGGTACTCTTCGCATACCTTGCAGGCGTCCATCCAAGCCCCCGTGCGGGCAAGACCTTGAACCAGAAGGTTCAGGGCTCGGCGCTCCAACATGAAGCCCGAACTAAGTAGCTTCTCGAAGCCCCTTTTCAGTCGCGTCCTGCTCTGTAGCTCCACACATATCCGTGTAAAGGTCTCAAACGGCTTGGAAAGACGGTAACGGTGCCGTGGCAGAACCGCTCTGCGATTACCCCCCCATTCGGTTGGACGAGCAATGGCCAAGACCCTATCATGCATTTGTCTCCACTTTGCCAGGGCCTCTTCGTACTTCTTGTTGGATGCATCCTCCTTCATCATGTAGTATAGCCATTGGACGGGGGTTTCATTGTTGACAGAGCTGGTCGTGGCCGCAGTGATGTCCCTCTGCAGCTGCTGGAGTTCTCTGACCGAGTCGTAATCGCCATACGCAGCGAAGAGCTGGATGGCCTTATCGAGCAAGACACGCAGGCGGTGCAAGGAATCGGCGCGGCGTATTGAAGAACCACTCGGTCCTAGGTCTACGCTTGTGTAGACTATGTTGGCCAGATCCCGAATGCATGCCATCAACTCCTCCACGCCGTCAGCGTTATTCCGATCTTGATTGTAAGCAAACAGCTGCTGCTTCATCATGATCCGAGCTTGGTCAATGCGACCCTTGACTGACTTTGTCTTGTACCGTCGCGACTGCTTCGTTAGCTTGCGAGCCAAGCCCAAATGGCGGTCGTCCAGAGCGGCCTGTACGACGGTCTCAAAGTGGTCTGGCACCACTTTGAACGATTTCTCAAAAGCAGCCGAACGTAGCAGCCTGTACGCCATTTGCGTTTGCCCGCAACGGACCAAGGCGCGGAGTAGCTGTGTATGGGTTTCGGGCGTCCACTTGACGCCTTGCTTCGCCATGGCCTCCAAATCACGAGCGACAGCAGGCAGATTGCGGCGCTGCGCTTGAGACCGCAGAACAGCGTTCCAAAGTATGGCATGGTCGCCCGGAACGTTGTTGGCGTGCGCATCGACACAAACTGACAACATGGCTCTCGTCCGGTCATGCCAAGAGTAGGCCCGGATAACCTTCTCAAGCATGGTGGTGTCCGGCTCGATACCTAGCGATTTCGCTCGCTCGAGAAGTTGCAAGGTCTTTGCGATGTCTCCGTCTGTCGAAGAGGTGGACATGATGGTGGCAAAAGAATACTTGTCGGGTGATACGCTCTCGCAGAGCTCTTCAAACACCGACATGGCGAGGCCGTAGTTCGCGTAGGTGCTCTTCAGAAGCTGATTCCAGCTTTCGGTATTCGGTGTCACGCCGTGCTTGTCTCTCATCTCGTCAAAGAATCGACGTGCGCTCTTGTAGTCCTGGAGGTTCGCATAGGCGTTGATGACGTAGTTGAATGTTTCCGGCTCCCGAAGGACGTGGCGGTGACGGTAGGCGCTGACATAGTTGTCCCACAAACGCTCTAGAGACTTGACGTCGCCCCGTGATGCGTAGTACTTGAGGAACTTCCTGAACCCCCAACGGTCCAGCCCCCCGTAGCTGGTATGGTAGTCTTCGTAGACCTGCTCGAGGCCCACGACATCCTCTGGGTAAAAGATATCAAACATGCCATGGAGAATTCTCCAGTGTGGTCTCGTCTTGGGAAATGACCGGTACACACGGTACACCTCGGCTAAACCCTCTCGTTGTCCTCGTGCCAGAGCTTCCGAGAGATAGATGTTGAACCACTTGCTCTGGTCCTTTTCGATGAGTTTGAGCAGAGGTAAGGCCTCTTTTGGCTTACACGGTTGCTGGATTGCACGCCTTACCGCCTTGTTGAGCAAGATTCTGAGTCTCTGCGCTACTTCTGGTTCTTGCGCCTCGACCTCCTTGGCGAAGCTCATGGCGAGAGCTCCGAGGTCGGGAGTTGCAGCAAGCCGTGGCAACTTTCCGCAATTGATGCCTTTGGCGAGGTAAACCGTGTGATACGATGCCCAAACCTGATTGACGGTTTTCCAATCGCCCTTTGCAAAGAAATAACCCAGCAGCTCGTCCAGACCGCATACGAAAGCCTTCTCGTCCAGCGCCGTGTGGTATAGCCGCAACGCTTCCTTCTCTCGTCCTAGGCGTAGATATGCCGTGACCACTGACGTTAGAGTCAATGTGGTCCACTGGCTGTCGTCGATTTGGGGGAATAAGAGAGCGACCCTTCGCGCATCAATCACATTTGCGGACCGGTACAGGTATTCAATAATCTCGGGCCGAAAATCTGGTTGCAGGCTCGGCTCCAGCTGCGAATAGAGCTGCCATATGGACCCAAAGTACTCCGTGTCTTGGTCGGCCATCAGGTCCCTCATCAGTTGGGGCCGCGACCCGGCGCCGGCGTATGATGGACCGCTATGCGTGTCGTGCGAGCTGGTGATGTCGTAGCCATCTTCGTCTTCTTCCGCTTCAAAGTCGTTTTCCTCGGTCGGATCTACGTCTTGCTGGTATTCGTACCGCCGGTCTTGCACAGCAGGTTCGTCTCCCCGGTTCGTTGACAATGTCTCGGGCGAGTCAGGGTCTGTTGTAAAAGTCGCAACCGTGGAAGAGGTGAATGGCCTGGACCGCCGTGGGAGCCGTCGAATGGACGCCAAGTGGTCGTGAGGAAGGCCTGGGGAGGCTCTGCGTAAGAAGGAGGCGGTTCCGCTGGGATAGAGAAAGTCGAGAAGGAAGGTCGAGGCGGCGAGGGTTTCGGGAGGCGTTGGCGGCGGATCGGAATAGGTGGGTTGCTCGGTAGCATGAGAACGCACAGCCAGCAAGTAGCTGGAGATATCTATGGATGCGGCGCCATGCTGCCAGAAGCCGGTGTGCAACCTGCGCTGGCTTCTAAGTTGTCGCGTGGCGGATGGAAGAGCATGAAGACTGGTACATGATTCCAGGGTCGCCGCTGTTCTCTCCAGCATTGGGATTGAAGCTGTCGCCAACACGGTACGTATCGATCATGTATGGCGGACATCAGACGCACTCGGGCACATGCTGGTCGTGGGTGTCGTTGGTGTTGTCGCGCAAAGTCGGAAAAGTTTTGGGTGGAGTCGCGAAATCGAAGACGTCGTCGACCGACCGAGGTGTTGCCCGAGCTGAGCTAAGCTAAGAATGGCCTTCAATGCAGGATAACACAGGTGGCAATTAAACGATCTCCTAGGGAACAGGAGTCTACTGAGTTGATCTGCGAAACACGAACAAAGGGACGGCCGGAAAGTATGCACGATGCCTTCAAAGAGCGCTGTATCAGTCCATAATCCACCTGCCATCATGGACTTTTTCGGGGAGCTTCAACCAATGGCACGGCGCCGATGGGAACATCTTCAACCCGGCGTCCGCCCCAGCTTACCTAATGACCGAGGGGCGTGCAGTTAGTGGACTTAGTGACACACCCTAAATTTTGACAATTCCACATTGAAAGCGCAGAGGACACTGGTGAGCCCCACCAATCCCCCGCGCAGCGCAGAGGTCGATTCGACATCATCCCGTCCCCTTTGGTGTGGCCTGTCGCGATTCTGCCTCCCCAGCGTCGAACGGACGAACCGACAGCCATGGATATCACAAAGTTTGTCGTCTCTGGCCGCGATGCGGCTCTCCTCTACGGAGACTACGCAACCTACCAGACTCAGCTATCCAAAAAGCTGCTCAACAGCCGCAAGAAGCTCAACATTGCCACCAAGAACCGTGGAAAGTTTAGCAAAAAGGGTGAGGTCGGTGTCTCGCAAATTGCCGAGAACCATGAGTATGTCGACACGTGCAAGGACAAGAGATCGTTGACTGACACTGCCCAGATACGTCCACCTCCTCCTTCTCACGAGCGAGCGTGCCTGGGCCAATGCCATGGCCATTAAGGCATCGCACGCCTCGGATGCCAAAGGCATGACCGGCAAGACG